CCATGTGTATAAACACCACATTTTCTTTATTCTTTTGCTGATGGACACTTACGTTGTTTCTATATTTTGTCTATCATGAATAATGCTGCAATTAACATGGCACTGTAGATGCCTCCTCCAGATAGTGATTTTCTTTCCTTTGGATATATTCTCAGAAGTGAGACTTCTGGATTATATAGTAGTTCTACTTTTAATTTTTCAGAAAACCACATACTGTTTTCCATAATGAATTTTGCACCATTTTCATTCTTACCAACAATGTGTAAGGATTCTCTTTTATCCACATCCTTGCCAACATTTGCTATCATTTCCCTTTTTGATAATAGACATCCTAAAGGTGTGAGTGTTATCTCATTGTGAATTTAATGCATCTCTGATGCTGATGATTAAAATGATGTTGAGCACCTTTGCATCATACTTGTTGGTGATTTATAAATCTTCCTTGGAAAAAATGTCCATTTTGGATCTTTGCCAATTTTTGAATTCAGGTTGTTTTGTTTTGTTTTTGTTTTTTGTTTTTTGATGCCATTGAATTGTGTGAGTTGCTTATGTATTTTGGATTTTAACCCTTATTAGATATGTTTTCCAATTTTTTTTCATTCCTTAGGTTGCCTTTTCAGTCTTTGATTTTATGCTGCTTAGAAACTTATTAATGTGAAGTATTCCCACTTGTTTATTTTTGCTTTTATTGTCTGTGCTTTAGGTGTCATGTTAGAAGTGAAATCATTACCAAGACCAAAGCAACTTTCCCTCTATGTTTTCTTCTGAGAGTTTTATGGATTCATGTCTTATGTTTAAACCTTTAATGTATTTTGAGTTGATTTTTCTGTATGGTGTAACATAAGCATCCAAGTTGTTGTTTGTTGTTGTTGTTGTTGTTGTTGTTTTTGCATTCAGATATCAGTTTTCCCAACACCATTTATTGGAGAGGGCTATCCTTTTTTCTGTTATTATCTTTTGTGCCTTTATTGAAGATTAGTTGACCATATATGCCTGAGTTTTTCCTGAGCTGTCTATTCTGTTCCACTGGTCTATGTGTCTGTTTCTATGCCACTATCAAACTGTTTTGATTACTATAGCTTTGTAATAACATGATTTTATATAGAAAATCCTAGAAAATTCACCAAATATATATTAGAACTAATAAATGACTTCAGCAATGTTGCAGGACACAAGGTCAATATACAGAAATCTATTATATTTCTATACAGTAGCAATGAGCAAACCAAAAACTGAAATTAAAAATCAATTATTTTACAATAGCATCAAAAGAGTTAAATACTTAAAAAATTGAACCCAGTAATTGCGAACTGCTACTCTGAAAACTACAAATCGTTGTTGAAAGAAAAATGTTCTATACAAAAAACATTCCATGTTCATAAATTGGAAAACAGTATTTTTAATGTGATAATAGTACACAAATCGATCTATATATTCCACACAATCCTCGTAGAATTCAGCTGTCTTCTTTTGTAGAATTGACAAACTGATTTGCCTCTCTCTCTCTTGCATTGCTCTTGGCTTATTTTCCCAGTGATGATAAGAATAATTTTGTTCTGATTGGATTAAAGCTAAGGGACGAATCTCTCTGTGTACTGAACATGGACCCTTTGTGTCATACCCAGTAGCTGTTAGCTTTGGTGCATAGAGGTTATTTCCGGGCCCCTTCTGTGATGGGCTAAACAAATAAAGTAACAGATGTATTTTAACATATAACTTACATTAAGAAATAATAGCAATCCTTATTGCTATTACAAGAATAAACCCTAAAACAAAGGGGTTTCTTTGTTTTTCAGCTTGCCAAATTGTCAAAGTTGCTTTGAACTGAATGGAAGGAGTCTGCATCAAAGTAGCTAAACATCATAAATTAGCTTGTTTCTTCCACCAAGGCAGGGGCTCTGTTTTATTCACTTTACAGAGTTTGTAAAAAAACTGTTTTATTTCTAAATTAGTTTTAAAAGGTGCTCCTTTTTGTTCTTTTTAAAATCATTGGCTGATGCTTGTCTTAATTTTAATTGTTCATTACACCCCAATGCAAAGCAAAGGAATATCAAATGCTTTGCCCTAGGAGAGGAGAGCAGATTCAACTGCAAAATGGTTCATCATACCTTGGGTTTATTAAATCTTAATAACTACTTTAATATCCTTAATAGAGTAAACTCCTAAATAAAATTCAGTCTTACACAATGATTGTTTCAGGGAGAGAAAACTGAATAGCCATGGATGTTTTAGATGTTTGCAAGATACTGAAAAATAAATCACGTAAAATATGCTCAGTATAATTCTATAATTGGTTTTAAATGCTTGCTTGATGGATAGTAGCAGCCTGTACAAAAAAAATCTAAAGTGGTTTTGATCTATATTTTAATGTACTAGATCTCTGTCTTTAAAAATGCTTATAAAATGAAATAATAGAAAAATTGGTAAGCTTTTTCAACAACAAAACCTTAAAATACTTTGATCAATTTAAGAAGATGAGATGTGATACATGCACTTTTCTACATGTTTATATCCACCACTGTAGTGGATATAAACTAGTGGATACAAAGACCAAGAAAAATATTTAACATGTTCATGTCTATTACTCTGTAATTCCACTAGTAAGGAATAAAAAACAGTAAAATATACCTAGACATTCAGGTAAAGTTGTTCATCATAGAATTAAGTCTTACAAGGGAAAAAAATCAGAATCTTTTTAAACATAGCCCCGAGATACTTGGTTGCAGGAAGCTTATCCCAATGACATAATATATGCTGCAACAGAATTGCAGGACAATATTTAATGATTTACAGAGATGATCCCGGATAATTTTAATAGTGAAACACCTCTAACGAAACAATGCATATTGTGTTATAAAGTGAGTAGATACCTATTAATGAAAATTTATTTTGTCAAGTAGTGGTATTAGGAGGAGTATTAGGATTTCAACTTTCTTTTCTTACATTAGCAATTTTAAAAAATAGTTTCTATTATAATTTTGTACAATTTGTATAAAAATAAAATGTATAAATAAAAACAAAAAAGTTCCTATGTCCTGAGAAAATACTGAGTGGTCAGAAACAAATGTAATAGCAAGTGCAGAAAATCATCCAAGAATATCTGAGTCCTGTAACAACACTGATGCACCTCATGAAGATGAACTTGTAGTATAATTACAGATGGCCATTGAATAACACATTCTTCCTCCCCTCCAAAAAACACTCAAACTGCCCATATACTTTGACACATGAATTCTACTTTTAGCAATGACTCATCAGGAAATAATCTTGAAAGTCAGCATGCTTTGTGCACTAGGAACTTCATGGCAGCTTTAGATTACATAAAGGAAAAGCAGGAAACAACCTAGATGTTCAACAACGAGAAAAGAGTTAAAATAAAACATACATAAGACACACAAACACACAGAGATATAGACATAGATACATAGGTACACATATATATCTAACCTTCTACCTAGTCATGAATTCAATAGAATATTAAGAGCCAGAGAAAATATTTTAAAAGCATCTTTAATGACATGAAATGAAGTTCAAGAGTATGCATATGTATAAATACACACACATTTACGTGTAGAAAAGCAGATATAAAACGGTCTGTACACACATAATATACATATATGATATATGCATGAAAAAACTAGACCTACGGACAAAAATGTTTCAGGTAGTTCTTGAAAATCTCGGAGAGGTGTGCACGAAAATGTTTCTGGAATGTGTATTGTAATCATCAGAAATGATTACCGGTGACTTTAATTTTCTTCTGGTGACTTGTCTGCTTTGTGACTATTTTTTTTTCCTGCAATGACGCTGAATTACTTTTCTGACAACAGGGAAAAGGACAGCAATTGGGCACAGGGCATGGGGTCATAAGCAGTGCTTGATTCCAGCAAAACCACCGAGGACAGCGAAATACCCTTTGCAGCCATAAACTAGCCAAAACACACATGCGCGCACACACACACACAGAGCACACGCACACATGCACACACACCATCAATTACGGTGACCAAGAGACTATGCAGGAAACGGCATGCTCTTTACTAGCTGCGCTGGCCGGCACAGTGCAAATCGGTACAATGCTTATGAAGAGCCTTTTGGCAACACACAGGAAAAGTCTTTAAAATGTCTCTATGTGGATCTTGCAAGTCCACAGTTAAGGGAGACCACCCCCACCGGGATGCTGGCAAAGATTTGGCTTGACAAGGAAGGATTCACTCATCAAAGCACAGAGCACGCAATGTTGGTCTTAAACACAGGGAAAGAACTAGGCACCACCTGAATGTCCAACAATGTGGGAATGATTACAGAAATGTTAAGGTCCACGGATACACTGGAGCACTCTGCAGGCACTGAAGATGACGTTTCATAAGCCTGTTGATAACATGGAAAGAAGTTCAATGGGTTGATTTTTGTTTGGTTTTAGTTGCTGAAAAAGCAGGTTAAGAAACACTACAGCCATGAACCATTCTATAACAGTGTGTTAAAAGGGAAGGCGGGGTGGGGGTGAGCAAGGGGAGAGGAGAGAAGAGAGCCTGGAAAAGCAGCACACCAAAAAGGTAAAAGTGGTTCTCTCTGGGGAGTAGGACCAGGGAGCAATTCTCTCTTGTTTCTTCCCTCATCTAACATCCTTCTCCTTTCTGATGTTTCTACCATGAAATGAGTATCACCAATACCCAGTAAACAAAGAGAGAATGAAAATGCTTTTTAAACCAAACCACAGGGAGGAGAGGCAGCCTTTAACCTACAAATGGCACAGATTAGTAAGATTATTCACCGCGCCCTTGGTAGGGGGTGGGCAGGAGAGGAAGGAAGGAGAGGAGAGGTGGAAGAAAATAGGAAGGGGAGAGAGGGGGGGGAGAGAGAGAGAGAGACCTGCCTCCCAATACAATAAATACTACACTGCTGGTGGGTTGGTTGGCAGGAGGGCTGGGGGTGGGGAGTTGTAAACCGGGTTTGAACCAAGGTTTAGCTCTGCTGGCTGGCTAGCTCCTGGGATGTCTTCATGTGAGTGGCCTCCTAAATCGGTGTCTTCTGAAATCCTTGGCGTCAGCACTGGTAGACTGCCTGGCCCAGGCTCCTTTGGCCTCTCGTTCTTTGTCGACTTGGAATCTCGGCGAAAATTTTGCGGTAGTTCAGGAACATGCATTCATCACGTCGATGGCGCTCCATGAATTCCTGCTTTTGGAAGTGCGAACCCGTAGCCCTTGGGCCTTACCGTCACAGGCCACTTTGCAGGAAGGATGTTGCGAGCCGAGAAGATGTTGTACAGCGCCTTGTTGTCGATGGTCTTGCCCAGGTTCTTGATGAAGGCGTTGCCCACCCCGCTCTTGCCCGGGCCGACGGAGTCCCTCTGGGACCACATGATGCGCACTGGCCTGCCCTTTGCTGACATCAAAGTTCAGGGTCTCCAGAGGCCCGGCAGTCACCGGTTGCTGGTAGTTGACATATGCGTAGCCCAATGGGCGAGCGGAGTGATCTTGTCCCTGCAGATGCGGATGGAGAGGATGGGCCCAGCTGGACTGAATTTCTCGTACAGCATTGCCTAAGTCACCTCAGAGTGCAGGTCGCCCACACGTAAAGGAGGCCATCGGAAAATCTGGGTTCCCCTCCCACCCAGGCCCAGCGGTCTCAGCATCCCGCATCCATCCGCGGCGGCAGCCTCAGGCGCCTGGCGGCCGCCACCCCCTCATTAGCAGCCGCATCATCGCATCCGCGCCGGCATCCGCCTCCCAAAGTCCCTGCACCTCCGCTGCGGCGCGCGGCCGCGCTGCCCTCCGCCACCGCCACCGCCGTTGCCGCCCGGCTGGCCTCCGCCTCCCAGGGTAGCCTCGGATGCTGCCTCTCCTATTGAGGCCTCGGCCTCCACCTCAGCCTCCCACCTCTGCTTCCGCCCCTCTCCACGCCACGAGCGGCCTCCCACGCCTGCAACCTCTGCCCACGGCGCCGCCGCCCGCTGCCTCCCGCCGCCGCCGCAGCCGCTGCCGCCACCGCCGCCCGCCACTGTGGCTGCTGTCGCCACGGTCGCCGCTGCACGCCGGGCCGCTGCGCGACCTCCTTCCCGCGAGCTGGGGGACGGAGAGGCGGGGAGGACAGGAGGCAGTGGAGTGCGGAACCAGACCCGATCGTCATGGCGAGCTGGCGCAGGAGATCGAACTGGCCAGTTCAAGTCACCTGGGATGGCAGGTGTTGCCAGGAGAAAGCGCGCCGGTCTGGTCGCAGCAGCCTGCAGCCAGCTGCTGTTGCCGCCCGCGCTTTAGGTCGTGGGCTAGCGCGCAGGTCGCAGGCGCGAAGGCGGGCGGGGCGGGCGGCGTGTGGTGGGGGGCGGGGTGTTGGGCGTCTGTCGTCCGGGCAGCTGGGAAGGCTTCTGTCTCTTTGGTTCCCCCTGTGGCTGCTCTCCGGGGCTGCGGGGCTGCGGGGCTGCGGGGGCGCGAGGCCGCGGGGCGCGACGGTCAGGAGGGCCGCCGGCAGGAGAGGAGCAGGGGGGCAGGAGCGGAGTCGGAGCAGGGCGGAGTGCTCAGCCACTCAGGTCGCCTGGATATTTAGCAAAGGAGCGCCAGGGGAAAGGGCTGCGCTGTAGACCCGAGAAGGATAAGGAGGTTCGGGTCCCGGAAGGAGCGTTATTGGTATCCCCTCTCTCCACATAATGGAACGTTTAAATGATTAAATCAAATGCCTTGCAGGGAGAGGCTGGGGTGGCCTTGAGGATACACTCAAGGCCTCGGGACATCACAGTCTGGAAGTGGGGGAATCAAAATGCCCTGTCTCTAGTACTGTCCTCAATGATAAGGTGAGGAAAGCTGAGCCAGGGCTGGGAACAGGGCCTGGTCAGAGCCAGGCACTTGTTTTATTCTTAGCTCTGCTCTCAAGGCGCTGGAGTTCCCAACCTGGACCAAGAAATCATATTCAGGTTCAAAAGATAAACCAAAACAAAACCTGAGCTCTCTCTAGAATGAAGTGCATAGTCCCCAGATCCGCAGCTAATATTTATGAGCTTGTCAGGTACTTGGTAGGGGCTAAAGAGGGCCTATTATGTTAAGTGAGCAGGGAGTGTCGATGTGTTGGAGGGGGGGTGTAGAGCAGGGGGTGAGAAGAGGTGGAGCAGTGTGTGTGTGGTGAGGCAGAGAGGGGCCACACACAGAGGCCAGATGCTGGGCGTATAGACAAAGGGAGCCACCATGAGGCTGAGTGTAACTGAAGCTACAGTCCACTTCCTCCAGAGAGAGAACCAACCCTAACTCTTCTTGGTAGCAATTAAGTGAGGCTGCACCAAAGGCAGAAACCCCGAGGTGGGCTCTGAAACATGGGGAGCAGTCCACCATGTCAAGGCAGGAAGGAAGGCATTCTGGCCATGCTAATAATCACAAAAGGGCCAGAGCTCATGTCAAGAGTACATGTGGTGGCAGACAGGGCTGGAAGGTGTGGGACCCTGAGAGTCAAGCTAAGGTGCTTCGACTGTATGCCCAAGGTCCTGGGGACCCTCAGCATGTTCAAGGAGGGAAGCAGTATGATCAGAACTTTAGAATGAGTACAAATTAAACATCAATGTGCATGTATAAGTGCACATTTACACGTACACGCACGTACAAAACCAAGACAGGGCTGACAGAACACAAGGAAGAAAGTCAGATGTGACCAATTCAAAAGAGTCTGAACAATCCCCTTCCCTCTGTCCTTTTCATTCCATAAATAGGGGGTCTCACATTTGCAAGTAGCCAGTGGGGCCAGATATTTAAAAAGAGAAAACCATAGTGCCTTCCCTCAGGATGCCTGCACTCTGCTAAAGCTCAGCCTGCCCCCACAGAAAACAGAAGTGTCAGCAGAGGACTGTAAGTGCTATGTGATTGGACTATGGTGGCCATGGAATTTCACCTGCCTGGCACATATTCTCTCATCCTCTCCTCCTCTGCCATGTTTGGGTAAGTAAAGCTGTGTTCACTGTGGTTGCAGTGATGGCTGGATCTTGGCAATCATGCATGATAGAACAACCCCGTGAACTGAGGAAGTGACTGAGTCACTGTGGGGGTGCAGGCAGTGAGAACTCTTCATCGCTGGCTGGAAAGCATCCCAAGGTGGCTGAGAAGCAGATACACAGACATGTACCTCTCAGCACTTGCAAAGTCCAGCTCTCTGCCTGTAGGCAGGCTGGAAACCAGCAAAGGCAAGGGACAGAGACCTAGGAAAAGCCTGCTGTACAGCGCATGCCTGACCAAGGTGATCACTGTCACTGCTGTGAGAGCCATCTCCTGGGGGTCTAGGTTGCTTGCAGGCAGGGAACAGATGAAGCTGTGCCTCCACCATTTCAGGTTGGTGTCAAGAGGACCTGAGAAGGCAGAGGCAAGGGGAAGCCATGCTCGGAGGGTAGGGGATATTGGCGAGGATGAGAAGAGCTTCTCTGAAGCCATTGTTAGGGAAACAGAAATGACAAGAAGACCAAGTCGAGAGATGGATAACAAGATCTCCTTCTCTGGGTGTTGGCTTCAGTACACAGAATAATAGCAAATCAGTGAAACAGCAGGAGAAGGAAGTTCAGAGGAAGTCATGCTATGGCTAGCAAATCCCCCAGGCTGCAAAGGAAGCAATTCCTAGGATCCTGAAGCTCTGTAGCAGCAACAGGGCTACCAAAGAGACAAGGACACATCTGGGACTGCTCCCCAAGTCCTTTCTCAGGGGCTTCCATGGAGTCGAGTTTCCACCTCCTTTTTGTTTTTATTTTTAAAAAGTTACTTTGTGGTCAGTTTCTGCCACTACCAAATGGAATATGTGTTCACAAGCCACTACACACTGTGACAGGGGCAAAAATAAAGAACCCTGTGGAGCCTCAACAGAGGGAGGGGAAGTTTCCTTTCCTGTGGGAGGAAGTGCTGCTGATTTTATTTATTCAGTGATTCAAGAAATATTCTGGAGGGTCTTCCTATGTACCGAGTATTCTCACCTTGACTGTCCCTGCACTCAGGGAGCTCATTTTCTAGTGGGGAGACAGACAATGGACAGATGAGGGAATATGAAAACAGTTAAAGGTTGCTGTGAATGCTCTCAGGCATATAAACAAGTGATTTGGTACATATTGCACGCAGAACCCCAGAAAGTGGCAAAACGGGAGACACGAAGCTCAGAGAGAGCCTTTCTGAGGACAATGATGGCCGCCAGTCTTTCTCCAAGGAACCAAGGGGAAACCTGCCCAGCAGAGGGAACAGCATTCCCTGGCCCTGTGGCAGAAAAGAGAGGGTGCAGTGGTGGGTGGTGCCATGATGAAGAGTCTGGTTCTTCTTCAGAGGGAACAGGAGAGCCAGAGAGGATTGAAGCAGGTAGTAGCATAATCTAATGCTTGGTGGTTTCTCTCAGCCCTTCTGTGTGGGCAATATCACAAGTGGGCAGGGCACAAAGGAAAGCAGGGAGACCAGTTAGGAGGCTCTTGCAGTAGTCCAGTCCAGAGACAGCAGGGGCTTGTCCCAGACTGGAAGCCTCAATGTGGAGACTAGTGCATGGATTCACATGATGTTTTGGAAGTGGAAGAGACAGCGCACGAGTGGATTAGAGCAACCAGGGGAACAAACTTAGAAATGAACGATTACTACAAGAGTGTTTTTCTTGGACATCCTCATCAGAGGTCTATGCAGTCATAGGAAAGACAGAGAGTGGGCATGGTAGATTTGGAGAAGGCAGAAAGATAGATGGGTGTGTGTGTCAAGAACTCCTATTTGCACAGGTTTAGTTACTGAAGTCTGCTTGTCATCCATAGAGGCTGGAGAAACAGAATTGTTGAGACAACAGGACACAGTTAGGGTTTAAAGTCACAAAACTGAATAGGATCACCCAGAGAGAGTATAGCCAGGAGAAGAAGAAGGTACAGGGGGCTACTCCTGAGATAAGTGACATTTAGAAGTTGGAGTGCAGAGAACACAAGCCAGCAAAGGAGATTCAGAAGGACTGGACAGTGAACAGGACTCCTCTCTGAGCCTTGCATGTCAAACGATGTCTAAACTTCTCGCCAAGGCTTTTCATCACCAGCCTCAATGTCCTCATTGAGACTCTGCTCTCAATGCTCCTAGCTGTACATGCATGGGAGTTGGTTTAAAATGGGACAACAACAACTTTGTGTGCTTGGGTTTGGACTTCGCCTGCTGATAATTTCTCAGTGGAGCTTTCAAAAGAGAGAGGTTCAGATGCAGAGAACTTCCAAAGTGGGGTAGGCACTGCTCTGCTATTTCATGTGGCCCATCTCCTTTTCCTTTCTGGAGGAGAAATCAGAAGGAGCAGGAATGCAGTTCAGAGGCAGAGGAGAAGAAGAAAAGAAGGAAGAAGGAAGAGGACTGGGGGTGGGTGGGGGGGAGGACACCAATGGGAAGAGGGACAGATCAACTCTACACACAAAAGTAAATCAAAACACAAAAACGAAGTCTATGTAAGGAAACCTTCCATAGTTGCTTGTTGCATAGCTGCAGGAGAAGGGTGTTTAGGGGCATAGAGAATGAAAACACCTGTATTTTGGTGTAGGGAAATTGTTTCTGTCAATTCTCACCGTCCACACGCCACCTCCCACCCCAACCCCACCACTACCAAATTCCTCTAAATAAAAATTATTATGAGATACAGGCCAAAAAAACCATCAGCCTTAGGCTGTTATTTAAAAATTGG